GATCATTTGCAATGAATAAGTTGTTTGAGAGGAAATTAAGTGAAAATTCAGAACATTGAATTAAGCGATCCGTTACAGGTAAATTATCCGTGATGAAAGATGAGACTCATTCGAGTGCGCTTCGAATGGCCATGCGACTGTCGTCTCCATCAATCAACAAGGCATCACCGTCCGTATTTTTGTACTCATTCGAAATGCCTCACCACGACTCACACAGTGGTGATATCAGATTTTTGTTCGATAAAGATTATTATCCACGGCGAAAAAAGATGAATGATGATGAGTTATCGATGGATAAAATATATCCGACTTATATAAGGATGTTCGTCAAGACTGGCCAACCCAGTAGCGGTAAATGTGTTTGATTTCATTGAAACTTGCTCAGATTCATTTGGATTTCCAAGATTATTCGGAGTCTTAGAAAAGAGACAGTTCTAGATAGATGTCCTCTTTGGGCACACAATTTGAATGCTGTCATTGATTACTTGAAGACGCATAAACTGTATTGAGGAATTCAAAAGAAATTTGTGAAAATTTCGGTGAAAATCACACACTGATTTGAGGAAATCAAATCGAAAAGGAACGATGCATTCTTAGAGCTTATCGCTGCTCCAACTGACACAAAACATGGATGCGCTACACAGAAAATATTCTCGTGATTTTACAGAATAGATGGGAAGATTTCTATAAAAAATCATTTTCAGATTGGAAGGCATTCAATAGCGATCAACGCAATTTCATGAGAATAACGCATGTAACATACGAAAATGGATCGATAGTTGAACCTCAAATGCAGAATGCTTTCTACAATGATGAAGCACATTTGTGGCTGGAACAGTTCGCGAACGTCGAACGAAGAGCACTTGAAATCAACCGATCCAAACAACACTCTGCTAAAACATTCCTCGCTGACGAAATCAAAGCTGATGATATAGGAGAGGATTCCACTGATACGCCTGTACTATTCTGGATGGGCTCATTTTTAATCACTCTAGTATTCGTTTGCCTAGTGATTACGCTCACTCTACTCGTTCTAATTTTGTACATCAGAAAGTTTGGTTATCCGTCATGGTTACGAAACAAAGTCAGCGACGAACATATTGAGGAGAGGTACATTTTTAGATTCTTGAAAACCTGATCAGATGCTCATAATTGGATTGCATAAACAACATGTCACATTTACCTTATGCTCATTACATATATGCTCATGATGTTCATAATAAATATGTCACACTTACCCTAAAAATATGAAAGATTTGTTCTCTAAGTAGATGGATTACATTGTCTGATTTGAAACATTCTTGCGTAATATATACCGAATAATTTTGCTTAAAAACAATTTTGATTGAATAATCATG